TAGAATAGACTGGATGACACTAGAAAACATTCTTCATGAAACGACCTATGCTGCTTTGAAAGACACACTGGACCAGATGGACTTAACAGATACATTCAGAACATTCCATCCTAAAACATCACATATACATTCTCTTCAAGTGCACATGGGACACTCTCTAGAATAGATCACGTATTAGATCACAAATCAGGCCTCAACAAATACAAAAAGACTGAAATCATACCATGCACCTTGTCTGACCAGAATGCTATAAAACTAGAAGCAACCACAAGAAAAAAATTGGGAAGACCACAAATACATGAAGGTTAAACGACATGCTACTAAACAATGAATGTGTCAACCAGGAAATCAAAGAAGAAATTAAAATATATATAAACAATGAAAGTGAAAACACAATGGTCCAAAACCCTTGCAATGCATCAAAAGCAGTTCTAAGAGGGAAGTATGTAGCAACACAAGCCTACCTCAAGAAGCAAGAAAAATCTTAAACAATCTAAGCTTACACCTAAAAGGAGTTAAACAAAAACAAGAAATGAGGCCGAAAGCCAGCAGAAGAAAGGAAATAATAAAGATCTGAGCAGAAATAAATGATACAGAAATAAAAAAAAACAATAGAACAGATTAGTAAAAACAGGTGCTGGTTTGTTGAAAAATTTAAAAAAAATTGATAAACCTCTAGCAAGACTTATCAAAAAGAAAATGGACCCAAATAAATAAAATCACAAATGAGAGAGGAGAAATAACAACCAATACCACAGAAATACAATTAATTATAAGAGAATATTATGAAAAACTATATACCAACAAATTGGACAAACTGGAAGAAATGGATAAATTCCTAGATACATATAAACTACCAAAACTGAAACAGGAAGAAATAGAAAACTTGAACAGAACAATAACCAGCACAGAAATTGGGTCACTAATCAAAAACTTCCAACAAACAAAAGGTTAGGACCACTGTGATCTTTTACAGGTCTATTACTCAGAAAAAGTTAAAAATTTTGAGGGACATTATAGTAACACAACTCTTTCTTTCCCTTTTACTTAAGTGTTAACAACTCACATCTGCAAAAATAAAAAATTTGAATAGAACTTATGTTAAATCCCATCCCATTTGATTGGTATATCTTAATAAAGCAAATGTGAAAATTTTCATGTCCATTCATACATTGCATGTAACACTAATCGTAAAGATTACTGAATTGCGAAGAAATGTGTTTAACATGTAACGTCTTTTGAGAGAAGTTTAAAATGAACTTAAATTTAAATATGAATTTTTGTTACAGAAAAACTATCATAAGGTCATTAATAAATATTTTGAACATGAACATAACATTCGGACAAAACTCTGTGAGAAGTGGAATAGAAAATATGAATTCAAGGCAAAGATGATTGACGTAAATTTTCCAGATGTTAAAGAAGAGCCTGCTTACGTACATATATTTCTAAAAATAATGGTACTGACATCAAATTGCGATGTTATTTAGATTCAGTTGGATACACATAGAAGACTGATTTAAAAGTACTTAACTAAAAAGACAATATTTACAGGGGCTCCTGGGTGGCTCAGTCGGTTGAGCAGCTGACTCTTGATTTCAGCTCAGGTCATGATCTCAGGGTCCTGGGATTGAGCCCCGTACTCAGCAGGAAGTCTGCTTGAATTCTCTCTCTCCCGCTCCCCCCATGCGCATGCATGCACATGCACTCTCTCTCTCAAATAAATAAATCTTTTTAAAAAACCACAATATTTACAGTAACATCTTTTACAACTAAATAATCTCATAACTGCAATTTTTAGATAACTTTCTGTACAAGTAGATACATAATTTAAAGGAATTTTTTTATAAGTGTGAAAGCAAACAGGTGGAAAGATCACTGTACTTGTACAATTTGCCACGATATAGAATGTGAGGTGATTATCATTCAATGAAGGTTAATAATAAATGTGAAATTCTTCATGTAGGTTTTAAATGTAATCTTTATATTTTCAGTAAGACTGTATTAGTCAGAGCTCTCCGGAGAAACAGTATCAATAGGATATATGTGCATATACATATGTGTATATATATTGCTTTGTATTATATAAAATCATATATATAAATAACCATATATAAATACAAAAGAGATTTATTATAAGGGATTGGCTAATACTCTTATGGAAGTTGACAAGTCCCCAGGTCTGCAGGATGAGTCAGCAAGCTAAAGACCCAGGAAAGCTGATGGTGTAGTTTTCATCCAAAGGTTCGCAAGCTCAAGAATCAGGAAGAACTGATTTTTTAGTTTGATTCAAAAGGCAGGAAAAAGCTGATGTTCAGATTTGAAAGCAGTCAGTCAGAAGGAATTCGTTCTTAGCTGAGGGAGGGTCAGTCTTTTAGGTCTATTTGTACCTTCAACTGATTTGACGAGGCCCACCCACATTAGGGATGGCAATCTACTTTACTCCGTTTACCAATTTAAATATATTTTTAAATGATTTTATTTATTTGAAAGAGAGCATGAGCAGGGGAGAGGGACAGAGAGAGAGGAAGCAGCAGACTCCCCGCTGAACAGGGAGCCTGATGTGGGGCTTGATCCCAGTACAGTGGGATCACAACCTGAGCTAAAAGCAGATGTTTAACTGACTAAGCCACCCAGGTGCCCCTACCAATTTAAATATTAATCTCATCCAGAAACACCCTCACAAGAGTACTTAGAATAATGACTGATCAAATATCTGGGAACCCTGTGGCTTAGTCAAGTGTACACATAAAATTAACGATCACAAGTCCACCCCTTGTCAATTTGGTACCCATACATATTTCCTTAAATTATACTTAAGCTCCAGATGAAGACAATATGTCATAATTCCACACTCTTAGATGTGTCTCCTAATGCTGTCTTAACCTGGGTTCCTTTTCACTGCACTACAGCCTGGAAACTTTGCATGTAGTATGCCAGGGAAGTTATAGGGCTCTCTTTGTATATTCTGCACCTCTCTGGCATCACTGTCCTTTATTATTGATGCTCAATGTCTTAAAAACTGTTGTTTAATATATTTTGCCCTGTTGTTTCAGGGATAAAGAGAAATCTGATCCTCATGAACATATCTTGGTCAAGAGTGCAACTTTTTGAGTCTACGTTTCTTACTCTAATTTTTTATATTTTTTATTGTATCATAAAATTGTTCCATGAATAAATGTTTGCAGAACCTAACTACTTACATAAATGACTAGATAGTTTAAGAAATCCTGATTTATAACGTCACTCCTTCACATAATCCAACAGAGGACATGTAAAGTACCCTGAGATTTTTAATATTAACTTGTACAAATTCAAGGTACCTAGGAAAGGTGTTAGGGATTAGTTTTCAAATAAAAAGTGTAATTCTCTAAAGCAAAATGTGTTAGTATATCACCTAGGTTTTAACATCAGTTGCCTAGGTTGCAGGAGGCAAGAAGGAAGAATAAAACACTTTATTTTGAAAATCATATATAGTTGATTCTTTAACAACACAAGTTTGAACTACACAGTCTGCTTATATGTGGATTTTTTCTAATAGTACTGTAAATGTATTTTCTCTTTCTTATGATTTTCTCAATAACATTCTTTTCTCTAATTTACTTTATTGTAGGAATATAGTATATAATACCTACAACACACAAAATATGTATTAATAGACTGTTTATGTTGTTAGTAAGGCTTTTGGTCAGTATTAGGCTATTAGTAGTTAAATTATGGGGGAGTCAAAAGTTATATGTGGATTTTTAACTGTGCAGGGGATCAGTGTCTCTAACCCTCACGTTGTTCAAGGGTCAAGGGTTTTCCTGCTTCTGGCCTGGCAAAAATTGCCTATATGGCTATAAAGATGTTTGATATAAAATCTTAGTCTCAATACTATGGTGGAATATGCTGTGAAGAGCTTGTACAGCTTCTTTAGGACAATAATCCTGCCCTTTACTATTCCTAGCAAGCATAGTACTATCCAGAAATTGATCAGAATAATTAAGACCAGGGAAAAAGAACAGAAGAACAAAAATATCAAGAAAATATTACAAAAGCCAAACACCAAAAATAAGAACAAAGGAAAACAGTCTCTGCAACCAGAAGAAAATCATTTGGAAAATTATACAAAGATTTCTCCTTTGGATTTTATGACAGTATTATTTAATAAGCAAAATCTGACCCATACGAGAGAATCATGTTGGTTTTACCTCAGTATTACATAACTTTTTTATAGTGGGCATAGAAATTTGTTGGTGTCTGTTGATAGCTATGGTATATTAATACTTACTATGCTACAAATTCTTTATAAATGACTGAGTTGTCTGTTATTTTGCAGACCATGCACTGAAATGAAAACAGCCTATGGGAGAAAATAATTTTAGATTCTATTTCAAATAATGACTTCTATTCAAATAATGGCTTAAGTTGGGTTCCTGTTCCGGACAAAGAAATTAAAAATTCTAAATGTGAGAACTGTCCTCTCAAAGGTGTAACGTGTGTTTTGGCTTTAAAAAGGTAGAGTATATTGATCATATATTTTATTATTATTGCTTGTTACTTGGAAAAGAATAATTTCTGGCAGTCTCAAAGCAAAATAAGATTAATAAATGAGTACTTCTAATTTCTGTATCTTTCTTCTAATTTATGTCTTTAGGATACTGGTAATATCAGACAATACGCTATTGTTTTCCTTTACTTAACTTTTTACAGAGTTATCTTATTATGACCATAGTAATAACTTTATTTATTGTCAGTTTTTAGTAGCTTTTAATACTGTTCCCAATGCCAATATCAATTTAAAGTTAAAAAAATTGTCTAAGAACAATTTTAAAAAGTGAAACTACATGTTCAAATAAATTTGATACTTTAAGAGAAAAAAATATGTGTGGTCTCATTAATGAATTTAAATATGGTTTGTAGATATACAAACATATATCTTGTTTACATATACCTATATAAGCAATATTTTTTCATGAAATGTTCAAAATGCAATACTGAATTAGTATATCCTATACCTGTAAAATATCAGCAGGGTCTTCTTTTGCAGACGCAACCAACAAAGTATGCCCATTGATGATTCCTTCTGCCAGGAAATACTTGAAGAGCAAAGAAGAATAAATATTATATTTATCCTCTTCTGTAAAAAAGAAAAAAAATTATAGTCAGAATCCTACCATATGCCAAGCACACTCAGATGTTTTAACAATTTTTCTCCTTAAAACAAGTAAATGAAATGGGGCAATAACTGTCTTCCTAAAAAGTACAGTTAAATAGGCTAAGACACTTACCTAGATAGTCAATGGGAAGTGAGTACTTTTAAGACAGTCTAATTTCAAAATTATTCTCCATCCTCTACACCACCTCTGATATCCACAAAATTTAGAGGGTTACGTATGATTATGGCAAAGAAATCACAGATTTTTTTTTCCTTCCTAAGATTTTTTTCAGGCATTGCATCTCTAAAATGCCAATTCTTACCTACCAACTAGTTTGTAAACTCACACTTCATTTCTCACATGTCACAATAATTAAGTACTTAAGTGTATGTAGCCTGAAAATTAATATTTATAAAATTTGTAAAAATAGTATTACTTCTTCAAAAGCAATTTAAAATTGAAGACTTTAATCTGAGAGTTCTTAAATTTGTACTAAATGTTTTCCTAGTAAACAGTTCTTTTACCTTTTATTATTCCTTCATCCCCCCTTCTTTTTGAATTTTTATGAAAAAGTCATACACCTAAGGTTTCTTTGACAAAATGTGTTAATATTTTTGAGATTTTGTGATATAACAACTCAAGTATATCTTTGTTTTCTTAATATTATTGATAAGCTACATACCTACATTTTTATATCAGCTTTCTTTAATACTTTGAGCACAACACAGAGACAAAGGTAGATTTATTGAATTATTTAAAAAAAGAGAAGGCATTATTAATTTATTCAACAAATATTAATTGAATTCCTATAATATGTCAGGCAATGTTAATATTTGTAAAAACCACACTATTAAAAAATATTCCTAAGAAAGTTTGAATTTGTGGTAATGTTAGCACTGTGCACAAAGCCTCTTGGAGCTTTAAGTATAAAACCTGAATAAAATACCATTAAAAAATAAATATTTAAAGGCACTGCAAAACAATGAAAAGCAGATAGCAACCACAGCAGTTTCCTTTTGAAAGACTGTGATCATGACATGTAAGAACTTCAAGTTTCTGGCTTTTTTTGCCTAAAATGGGGTTCTTAAGCTCCCTTAGCTCTGACAGCTTTAAATCATATCCTTTCCAGCTTGAGGTGGCAGAATGTAGAGTTCAGTGTTGTCAAAATAGCTGAAAGTTTAGGGGAAAAATCCTTCAAGTAAGAGAGCTCTGCAAAGTTTATCAAATGTGCCCAAATCCGTGATTGACCACTAAGCTATCAATGCATGAATGGGAGAAAAAACAGTAAGTAGGTAAGAGAGAACAGGTTAAGTTGAAAGACAACTAAATCATGTGAGATTTAAAAATTTGATGCTCCTTTCAAGGCATGCATTTCCCAATGAGCAGAATCTTATAATAAAGAAAGTTGAAGTCTTATTGACTTGAAGTGGCAGAGGAAAAAACACAGGGCTGAGAACCCCAGAAAGTGTAAGCCCCTAAACATGAGTATAAATTCTGTATAAATATTTGGCTCTCTTCTAAGTTTCTGACTGTAAGGGACAGCCCTGTGTGACCAGGTTAAAAAAGCAAGACCTAAAAGCTGGAAAATTGAGCAGAGATACAGAAATACTATCCACTGCACAGTATATTGAAGTTAGAGTTAATTTAAGATCAGGCAAGTTAACTGTTACTATTAAAACAAAAAACCTGAAATCCTCGGGACAACAGAATGGAATTCAGAATCATTAATATTCATTTATTACAATGTAAAGATTTCAACCAAAGATCAGGGAATATGATCCATACTAGGGAAAACACAACCTACAGAAACTGACTCAAAGTAAAAATTTATTCAAAGTATTAAAGGAGGGGCACCTGGCTGGTTCAATCAGTAGAGCATGTGATGCTTGATCTGAGAGTCATGAGTTCAAGCCCCATGTTGGGTGTGGAGCCTACTAATTAAAAAAAAAGAAAAAAAAGAACAAAGTATTAAAGGACAATATATCAATAAGTGAACAGAAAAGGAATATCAACAGAGAATGAGGAACTATAAAAATGAACCAGATAAAAAATTTAGAGTTTAAAATTATTCCTTATATGAAAAATTTCTTTGGTGATCTCATGAGTAGATTGGAGATGAAGAAAGGAAAAAAGAATTGGTATACCTGAGGGGAGATCAACAGAAATCATGAAATCTGAAGAATAGAGAAAAAAAAATTAAGAAAGTTGAACAGAACGTCAGAGACACGGAACAGTATAGAGCAGTCCAAAACACATTTAAGTGGAGTCCTAGACATTGGGAGACAATAAGAAACAGAAACAATACTTCAAGAAGTGATGGCTAAAAACTTCCTAAATTTGATGAAATAGTCAATTACAGATCTAAGAAGCACAGGAAGCTTCTTCTAGGATAAATGCAAAAAACCCAAATCTAAGTACCTCATAGTTAAATCTTGGAAGCAGCAGGGAGAAATGGCATATGACATACATACAGTGGTACAATGATAAAATCAACAAGTGATTTCTCATCAGAAACAATAAAAGCTAGAGGATATGATAATTATATATTCAAGAGTTGAAAAAGAAACAACTTAGTCAAAAATTATAAATGTGTAAAACATATTTAAGAATTGAGGTGAAATACTATTTTCATATAGGACAGCAGACCTGTACTATAGGACACTAAAAGCTAAAGTGAAATTATACAACATGGTAACCTGCACTTACAGGAAGCAATAAAGAATACAAATGACAACAAATATGTGCGAAATTATAACACTCTGTGATCATATGTATATGTACTTATGTGCATGGATGTGTGTATATAGATGTATATATATGTGTGTGTGTGTGTGGATAAATTATTTTGTTTCTTAGAATTTCTTTAAAACTATCTGTTTAAAGCAAAACTGATAGAACTAAGCAAAGAAAGACAAATTCAACTTGGAGATTTTATCATACATTTCTTAGTAATTGTCAGAACTAAGGAGGAAAATCATCAAGAAAATAGAAAATCTGAACAAACTCATAGACCACCTTAGATAATATACAGTTCCAGAATATATATTTAGTGCATCTAGAATGTACACCAAGATAAACCATATGCTATTCCAAAAAACAAGTCCCAATATATTTCAAAATATTAAAATCTTACTTTGGAAACTGAAATTTTAAAAATTCCATTTATGATCAACTCCAAAAGCATGAAATATTTTGGAGAAATTTGACAATACATGTGTATGAATTAGCTCCACACTGAAAAGTATAAAATATTCTGAGAGTAAGTAAGGAAAACCTAAATAAATGGAGAAGTATATCATGTTCAGGGAATACAATGTTCAGGGAATACAAGACTCAAATCTTTCCAAATTGATCTATAGATCTAATGGAATTCCAATGTAAGCCCCATAAGATTTTTGGAGAAATTGATAAGCTAATTCTGAAATTTACACAGAAATCCAAAGGTCCTAGAATAGCCAAACAAATTTGAAAGTGAAAATTCAGTAAATTTGATTAAAACAATTTCCTAAGGTGCAACTAAAACACCAGGTGGTAACTTGTTTATAAACCTTCTCAGCACTGTGTATTAGAGCAAATCCATGATCAGAAGTATAGCGGATTTATATGAAGTTCAATTTTATATATTAAAGAACATAGCTAGTTAATACTATCATCACAAGTTAAAATCCACAAATCTAAAAGACAAAAAATGCACTTGATATGGATTTAGGAGCAATTCATGAGAGCTTTTGTGTGTCAAGGAAAACATCTTCAAGGCCTCTGCACTGCTTACAGCTGACAGGCGGAAAAGCGAGCAGAGAACTGTAGATGAGATGACCAGCACTGCCTATTCACTAATGCAGCTACCATACCGGGAAAAAAAAAATACTCATTTTACATAACTAACAATTTGTCTTTATTCAACTTTAGAAAAAACCAGAAAGTCATGTTTTAAAAAAAAGAACTGATTTTATCTTAAGGAATTGCTATTAGGTCGGTTTACAGAAGCAACCATATAAACCAATGTCATTACACATCACTGACATAAAAACCAAATCAGACACTAAAAATCTTAATTTCTAAGGTTGACATTTTTACAACATGGGAAATTTAAATTTTTAAAAATTCTTCCACCACCCATCACCCTCACAGAATTATTACTAAAATTTGCTATATTTCCTTTCAGTACTTTTTCTGTGGATGTTTTCTTATATGGTTACAATTATTACTGAATTTTGTATCCTGGTATTTTCACTTAATCTCACATGCTTCATAGTCTTGTAGCTATCGTGTTTCGGGGTGCATAATATTCTAGAAAATATATGTCCTATAATTTACTTCATCATCCCTCTACCATGAACTTTTCCTTCTGCTTTCAGGCTTCTGTTACTATTAAATACACAAGTACCAAAGTGCCTGAAGTCCCACATATCCAAGATGGAATCAGTAACTCATTATTTCTTTCTATGAAATACAGTCCTCTTTCAGTTTTTAAAATATCAGGGTTTATTTTGCTACCTCTTCTCTCTCTCTCTCCTCGCCCTATCCCTAAAATCCTGTTAAATTTATTTTAAAGTATTTCTGAAATTTGATCACTTCCTTCCATGCCAGTGTCACTCTCCTAGTCATGCTACCAACAGCTCTTGCCTAGACAACTGCAATTGCTTATTTATTTCTTTGCATCCACTCTCATCCTCCAATTTAGTAGTGACCTTTTGAAAATACAAACCCAATCATGTCACTTCCCTATTTAAAACTTTTCAGTGATTTCTCATTACTCTTGAGAGAAAGAACCAAATCCTTTAACACGGTCTACATGCTGTGTGTGGTTGCTGCCACAGAATGTGTATAAATAAAAATATTAGTGTTAAAAGTAGAATAATACTGTCATATCCCTATAAAAAGACATGATGCTTTTTTAACAACTTTTCAGTAAAGAAAGAAAGAAACCTATTTAATTAGAAAAATAAAAATAAATATTTGTAAAGTTAAGGACAATATT